AGTGAGAGGCGGGGCACTCACCACCACCCCTCCGCCTCTTTCCTAGGGGTACTGCCAAGGGCTAGCCCAGGCCAGAGTTGGCCGGGCCACACGCCTTTGTGATGAGGCCTGCTGTGGCCCAAGTCAAGCTGGCCAAGTAACAAGGTATGTGGCCTTCAGGAGAGCCCAAGGGACGGAGCCACAGCTCCACGGGGTGTCATGAAAATCCCCAGTCGCTGGCTAACAGCCAGCCCCAAACAGCTCATGAGCCAGGCGAGGGGATGGCCCCCTTTCTGTGCTTCAGAACAGTTGATCCGAAGCCTGTGGCCCCGAGGCCAAGAGGGAGGTCTCAGGCCAGTGAGGGGGCCTGGGTGCCAGGGAAACTGTCCCACCATCGTCATCCATGGCCCTTGCTCATTGGCCAGCCCCTCTTGGTTTCTCCGTCTCTACAGAGGTGGGGGGGGAGCTTCTCTAGAAAGTTCTTCTTTGCATCAGGCCCTGTCCCCTGTACTGGAAATGCTTAGGGGGCAGCTCCGCGGGGAGGCCCACGGCTGGGGTGGGAGCAGGGGAAGGCGCTGAGCTCGGGCGGGCCTCCCTGCTTCCCTGTACCCTCTCGTGGTCGCTCCTGCAGCCCCACACCTGTCAGCACTGTGCTCAAGCCCCCTCCTGCCCCCTCGGGAGCCTTGGGCCTGGGCCTGGGTCACTGCCCCTCACTCCCGCTCTCCTCCTGGGACGTCTCAAAGGCACTCTTGGCCCAAGAAACAAAGCCAAGAACGGGAGGCCCGCCCTCAGGCCTGGCTCCCTCCAGCCCTTCCGCACACGCTCCGTGTAACAGGAATCCACCCTCCCCCTTCCTGCTGACCACCCCCCCTTGTCACCTGCCTCCAGCTCCCCTCCCCCACCGCCGGGTGCTTTCTTTCCCAGGTCTTCAGCCAACCGTCCCCACTCCCCTCTTCCTGGGCCCAGCAGCTGCCGCCCCTCCTCCCCTGCCTGGTTTCTCTCCTACTACTTTCGCTGGGGCCTCCGCAGCCACCTCTGGGGAGGGCAATTCTCAGCCCAGCCCTGACATGGGGGCCTCTGGCTGGGTCCCGGGGCCCTCTCTTTTCTCAGTGCTCCCTCTCTCCCTGGCTGAGATCATAGACCCTTCCTCTCCCTGACCCCCAAGGCCTTGGGGGCCACCATCGTGCTGGGGTCCCCCGGGTCGGTACTCACCTGCGGCCCTGTGGCGGGCTGCCATGCCCCCCAAGAGCTGTGCATGTCCTAACCCCTGGAAGCGGGCTGGGATCTTATTTGGAAACGGGGACTTTGCAGATGTGATTGAGTTGGGGATCTTGACGTGGAGAGATGATCCTGGCTTATCTGGGCAGGCCCGAGATGCAGTGACAGGTGTCCTCATAAGAGGGAGGCAGAAGGAGACTTGACACACGCACCCACGGAGGGGGAAGCCACCTGAAGACAGAGGCAGAGACTGAAGGGGTAGCCGCAAGCCAACCACCGGAGGCTGGGAGAGGCAGGAAGGATCCTCCCCTGGAGTTTTCGGGGGGAGCAGGCCCCTTGACTTGAGCCCTGAGACACTCAGTGTTTGAAGCCAGGCGCAGAAAACTCATGCCAGTCCCTGACCCGGCCCCCAAGAAGTCCTGGGTGCCCCTGAACCCTGCCTGCAGCATACCTCCCCTTGGACCTCCCGGGTGCTTGGCCTCGGGATGCTACCCCGGAGGTTCTGGAGAGCCAGGCTTCCTCTCTGTCCTCAGGAGCGGCTCGGGGCTGGCTGGGGGGAGGTGGCCTTTTGGCTCTGGGCTGCCCAGGGCTGCGGCAGCCCCGTTGCACCTGCCCCACACATGTCCACAGTGGAGCTGGCTTTGCACCTTCCAGCGGCCCCTGCCCTCCCAAGACCCGAGCCTGGAGACCACAGGGGGAGCAGAAGTGAATGAACACTGGCCCCGCTTCCCAGCTTCTCGAAGCAAGCCCTCCACCTGCCCGGTCAGGTCCTTCAAGGAGGGGTTGTCCTTCTGAGGCGCCCTGCCCCCAGCCCCGGCCATGGGCTGTGGACGCCCGGCTGGCTGCCCCTCCGACAAGCCCCAGCTTGTCTAAACCCGAGCAGTGGATTCAGCTTAGGCTCCAGCTGGGCCCCGCTGCATTCAGAAGGCACCTGACCCGCAGTAAGTACTTGGAAATGTCCCCCACCCGGGCCCCCGTGTCACTGACAATGCTCCTTGGCAGCCACTTCTTGCACGGGACAGCCCTCCCCGCGACTGAGCTGCTCCCGTGACTTTTATGGCCCTGTGTGCATGCGCGAGCACGCACGTGCGTCTGTGTGTGTGTGTGTGTGTGTGTGTGTGCGCGCGCGCGCGCGTGCACGCACTTGTGCCCGCCTCAGCTCACTCTCTGCCTCAGGTCCCTCCTCTGAGCCGCATCCACACACTCAAAGCGCCGGGGGGCCTCCTGGTCCTCATGTGATATTCCTGGCCTCCCCTTCCTCTGCCTCCAGAGGCCTAGGACCTGGGGGTGCCACACCCCCATCCTGTCACCATCCCACCCCCTTCCTGTCACCCCACATCCAATCCATCCCCAAGTGCAGGGGCTGGAGCCTGGCCCCTCCTACCATCCTTCCTGCCGCCTTTTGGGCATAGCTGAGGCTTTCAAAGCGGGCACCCCTGAGCCCATCTGCATACCCACAGCTCACAGTGGGGTATCCCAGCCCTCTGGGGCTTCCTGTGACCTCGGCCAGGCCCTGAGCTCCATGAGGAGGGCACTCTGCATGGCCTGAGCCGTAGGTGGGGGCTGGCAGCTGGCAGGGGTAACCTTCATGTTGCCCTGGGTTTCATTTATTTATTTATTTTTAAAAGATTCTATTCATTTATTCATGAGAGACAGAGAGAGAGAGAGAGAGAGAGAGAGAGAGGCAGAGGCAGAGACCCAGGCAGAGGGAGAAGCGGGCTCCATGCAGGGAGCCCGACGTGGGACTCGATCCCGGGTCTCCAGGATCAGGCCCTGGGCCAAAGGCAGGCGCCAAACCCCTGAGCCACCCAGGGATCCCCCCTGGGTTTTATTTTTAAGCCCAATCAGTCCCCACTTTTGTATAGTCATCATCACCACCTAACAGCTTGCAACACACTTGAAGCACAGGGAGACGACGTCCTCCATCTCTGACCAGCTGCTCTGAGGATAGAACCTGTTTTCCAACCACGACTCACAAGCTCTTGTGGGGTGAGGCCCTGTTCACCTCCCTGGGCTCCTGCCACGGGCCCAGATGGTCCCCTGGGTGCCTCGAGGCCTCTGGTCCTGGCAGAGTGTGCGTCCCGACTTCAGGGCACGGTCTCCTATGTGCAGGTGACCCACAAGGTCCATGGATGCTTTCCCTGGAGCCCAGGCACCGGGATCTTATCTGAGCCTAGCAGCATTATTACAGTTGTCTTACTAGATTTTTTTTTTTTTTGGAGAGAGAGAGAGAGGGAGAGAGAGAGTACACGTGTGTGAGTGGCGGGGGTGGGGGGGGGCAGAGGGACACAGAGAGAGAGAATCCCAAGCAGACTCCATGCTCAGTGCAGAGCCCGATGTGGGCCTCTACCTCACAACCCTGAGACCCCGTCCCCGGGCTCAGATCAGGGGTCAGCGGCTTAACCAACTGAGCCACCTAGATGCCCCACTCGTCTCACTGGTTTGTCAGGGCACCTCTGTCCCTGCGAGAGAGGGAGGCAGAGAAGAAGGGAAGGGCGGGAAGCCTGGGAGAGAAGACCGAGACCTACAGGGACTACGTTGGACCTGCACGACAGGGTTCAGTGCCCCGGGCCGGCCCACAGAGAAAAGGCCTGAGGGCTCCACGTCCCTGGCTCCTGCAGGCCCCAGTTCTGGCTGTCCCTCCTCGCAGCCAGTGAGGGGACTTGACTGAGGCCCTGTCTCTTGGCCCCTGGCCAGTGCCCTTGCCCTGAGCCTGCCCAGCTCAGCAGAGATTGCTGGGCTGTGCAGCACATGGCCCAGAATAGTGCTATGATGCCGACGGGTGACATTCTATCACAGGGCCACCATGCTGAGCGGCGCCTCCCATCCCCAAAAGGGGAAACTCAGGGACACCGGGCACCCTGGTGCCAGGCCAGGCAGAAGGGCACGCAGCTCTGTGCTGGGAGCCAGCACGTGGCGCCTCCGAGCTCCTTCTGTCCTGGGCTGGCACTCGTCATGGGCTCCACCTGCTGTATTTTCATGGGTGACCGGTGGCTCCAGGGAAGCCCTGGCCCCCCACCACCCGAGGGGGAGGGCCCTCGTGGGGGATGAAGGAAGAGCGGCCAGGCTCTGGCCCACCACCACCTCAGTCTGCTGGGCTTGCCAACCGAGGGCACACTGCTCTGGGGACCGTCCCTCCCCTGCCCGTGCTGCCCTTTCCGGGGCAGATCCGCATCCCCAGGCCGTGTCCTGGATCCTTTGTCGGGAGCCAGTGGCAGAGCACCGCAACCTGGGCTTGGCTCTGCGGGCGCACGGTGCGAGCTCCTGGGCCGAGCTCCTGGGCCGAGAGGCCAGCGCAGGTGAGCTCCCAGCCGCATCTGAGGCCTGTCCTGCCCAGGGTGCGCCCCCTGGTGCTGACTGGGGTGCTGCGCACGGGTCCCCCCACAGCCGGGATGTAGCGTTGCTCGCAGCCTCCCCCAGCCCATCAGGACAGGCAGACGCGGCCCCCTAGGATTTGCAGGCTCCCCTCTCAAAGCGAGGGTCTGGTTGGGTGCTCTGAAGGTGGCAGGTGCTTGGCAAATGCTCCGCTCTGGAGGGCGGATGCTCCCTCAGCCAGGCCCGCTCTAGGGGCCCAGTATAAGGACCACTGGGGCCATGGAAGTGCCTAGAAAGAAGCGGAAGGGATCTCCTTGTCCAGCCTCAGACCTGGAGGTATTGAGGACCCTGGCCTGCGGGCAAGGAAAGCAGCAAAGGGGAAGCCCACGGCTCGGAGAGGGCACGAGGAGGCGGAGCCTGGGCCCACCGTGGCTCCCCTCTCCGCTCGGTCCCCGGTGCCACCCCGCGAGTGGCAGCACACAAAGCCATATTGCACAGTGTTTCTTTAATTGAAAGACAACAACCGACCTCAGAAGCAGCCCCTCCTCAAGCTGGGTGTGATCGTCTGAAACCCCCACCATACCAGGGGCCAGAAGGCGAGGGGAAGGGAGAGCTAGCCATCTCGTGGGGAGAGGGGGCGATGAAAGCTGGCTGGGGCTCCAGTGGGAGGCTGGGCCCTTTCGGGGCCAATGCTCCCCTGTGGACTGCGGGGTGCCTGCAGGGTGCATCGTCTCCACCTGCTGACCTCCTCCAGGACTGTCCAGGCTTGGGGGCAGCTGCCCTCTGCCCCGGGGCTTGCCTGGGTAGGGGCTGAGCAGAAGCCCCGCGCCACAGACAGCGGACCCAGCTGGGAGATGTGAGAGAGGAGAGGGGGGATGAGACGGACACATGGAGAGGGACAGGGAGAGAGAGAGAGAGCCAGGGAGGAAGATCCTGGTCTAGAGGCCAGTAGAGGAAAGAGGCTTGGATGGACGGGCCAGGCCATGAACTTGCAGAAGGGGGGGAGCGTTGGAGGTCAGGAGCAGCAGGCCCGGCCAAGGACGGTTGGGAGCCGGAAGCACACGAGAAGGAGGAACGTGCGCCCGGCAGGTGCGGGGGGCTGTCTCCATCCTTGTTAGCCCCTTCCCATCCCTAGACCCAGGGCCCGTCTTTCTTGGACTGGAGCCTCGGGTCATTTGATTTGAGGGTGAATGGGAAGAGAGCTTTATGAGGGGGCCTCTGAGTGGCTAGGACGGTGGGGGGCGGGCAGGGGCAGCTCTGAGGCCAACAGGCATGTGATGGGCGGCTGGGTCTTGTGCCCCATCTGCGTGCTTGGGAGCCAGGATGAGGGCGTCAGGAGGCAGCGAGTCGGGGTCCGGGATCAGGGCGGGGCTGGGTTGGGCGCAGCTGGGCGCTGGCTCGGCTCCTTGGCTCTGCCCTCCCCTTCGGGATGTCTGCTGTGCTCCCCAGAGACCCGGCCCAGGCCACCACGGCGGCTGCCGCTGCCTCTACTTTTTGTAGTTGCCAAACTGGATGGCCAGGCGGTCAGTGACGCAGCGGAAAGTGGCCGGCTGCACCTCCCAGTAGGGCACGGGGTTATTGAAGAGGCTGATGCCGTTGTAGTAGGCCCGCTTGACCCCGAAGCCCACGGGGCAGAAGTCGTTGACGCCCACCTTGGTGATGTTGTTGGTGTGCAGGTACACCACCTGCGGGCAGAGGGGGTGGCTCAGGCCCAGCGCCTGCCCTCCCAGCCCGGTCCAGCCGGCCGGCCAAGTGGCGGGCAGACCAGACGGCAGAGGGCTCGGGCCTTCCCTCCTGGCTGAGTCCCGCCCGGCTGCCCCACGGGTGGGGTCCCATGGCTGTGCTTGCCCTTGGAGGGCCAGGACGTGGTCCTTCCACTGTTGGGAGGAGCCAACCGAGGCTTGGGGGTGGCTCTCCGGTAGGTGTTGCTTGGGATGTGGAGGCACAGGCACGTGGCCAGGGGCCGGGATGCGGGGCCCAGATGCGGCGCGTGGTGGGTGGGAAGTGAGGGGCACGGGACGTGGGTTCGGGTGCAGGAAGGAGGGCACCTGGGGCTCCCCGTGGGCTTCCCAAACGCCAGGCCTGCCCCTGGGCCGCAGCTGGTCACTCCGGAGACCCCGTGGCATAGTTGTGAGAGGAGGAGCCCGGACATGACCTCCTCTTCCTTCCGGGCCCCAGGGGCGCTCGCTCTCCCGCAGCCCTCAACCTCCCGAAGCCCCCCTCTGGAATGGGGGGGCGGAGGAAACCCCCGAGAGGCGAGGCGCTCAGACTGCAGCAGCGCCCTCTAGAGGCAGAGCGGACAGCGGCCGCTAGAGGGCGCGCTTAGCCGGGCACGGGCCTCCGTGAGGCAGCATCTCGGCGCCCCCCCCCAGCCCCCCTCCCCGGGGTAGGGCCCGTCCGGACAGCCTGTGAGCTGGCAGGTCTCCCGGCCAGTGCCAAAGGGGCAGAGGAAGAGACTGGAAGCCAAGCCAGGGACGAGGTCCCTGAGAGAACCCCAGGCAAGACCCTGCACCCCCCTTCCCACCTCGACCTACTTCCTGCCCTGAGCTGAACCCCCACAACCGCAGATCTGTGCACCTCCAGTGCCCAGGCTGTTCCCTGACCCCCCAGGCTCCGCCGTGCCTTTCTGGGGTCCCACTGCCTATGAAAACTTCAGCTGCAAAATCTACCAGGCCAACTCCTGCAGGCGCCTTGCACCCCCTCTCCACGCACCCCCCAGCCCGCCATCCCCAGTGCAGTCCCCGCTCGCCTTCCCTGCTTCCTCAGCACGGATCCCTGTGATTGCCTCTTTCCAGATGACGAGGGGGCGCAGGGAGAGCAGGAGCGGCTGGCCAGCGGCACAGCGAGGCCCTACTAGGCCCCTCCGGCTCAGGGCAGCCGGCATGGGGGCGGCGGGCGGCTCTCACCTGGAGGAGCTTGAGGTCCGGAAGGCCGGAAGGCACCCTGGACAGCTTGTTATTATCCAAGTGCAGCTCCCGCAGGGTGGGCAGGAAGCTTAGGCTCCCGTTCTCGATCATGCGGATCTGGTTGTGGCCCAGGCCCAACCTGCAAAGGACACGTGATATGTACCGAAAGGTAGAGGAGTGAAGAGCAGTGGGGGCAGGGCGCCCCGCTTGGATCCCCAGCCCACCTGTACAGCTTGGAGTAACGGAGCAGGTCCTCCAGCTCGATGGCCTGGATTTTGTTGTGGTCCAGGTGGAGTTCATTCAGGGTCTCGGGGAGGTCTGCCAGGAAGACAGGGTGCTTGCAGGGGAATGCAGGTGGGGGGGAGGCCAGGTGTGTGGGCTGGGTCTGAGTGCGGGGTGACGACGGGAGCACAGGGCTCCCCAAGCCCTCCCTGAGTTGACTGGTGACTCCAGATATCTCCAGGCCCCCCCACCTGCGCCCACCTGTGCCATGGACGCTGCACAGCAGGGGGAAAGGGCTGCCTTCCTACCTTTGGGGACGCCGGTGAGCTTGGCCTCAGAGATGCGCAGGTAGTTGAGCTTCAGGCCATCGAAGGCTCCCGGCTCAAAGCCACTGTTTTCCAGGGGGTTCCCGCCCATCTCTAGGAGAGAGGCCCTGCTCAGCCCCAGCGCCGGAGCTCGGTGGCCGCCCGCACAGCCCCAGGTCCTGCTGGCCTCCTGGCTTGGGCTGGCCTGACGGGCCCGGCTCCCCCAGCTCCCCCAGAAAGCAGCCCTGCTAATGTACCGGGCTGATCGCGAACTCCTGGCTGTCCAAGACCGTGACCTCCCAAGGGTGTTGGCCCAGGCATCGGCCTCCGGGAGGAAGGGAGGCAGGAGGAAAGGGACGGGACCCAGAGATCAGCTGCTCAGCTCCTCTGGCTGGGCCCTTGGTGGACCCCGGCTGGCCGTCTGGCTGCACTGGCCCTTTCCCTTCCTTCTCTCTACGGACCCCAGGTTTCTCTTCATCTTGCCATGGCAGCCCTGGGGCATGCCCCGAGACAAGCCTCTGGAATGTTCTATGAGGCCCACCAGGCTTGTCCATGGCACCTGGCCACGCCGGCTGGAAGAGGTCCCTCTCCCTGCGCCCTTCCCGCCGGCCACGGGGGTGGCCAGGTGGCACTCACCGATGCAGTTCATGTTTCGCAGCCCGCTGAACACGCCCTTTGGCACCTTGCGGATGCGGTTGTCATGGATGCGGAGCTCCACCAGGGAGCTGGGCAGGTTGGGAGGGATCTCCACCAGGTGGTTCTTGGAGATGTAGAGCTTCTGCAGCTTCCGCAGGGGGCTGAAGGCCTTCTCGTGGATCTTGGAGATCTTGTTGTTCACCAGGACGAGAGCCTGGGGCAGGGAGGGCGTGGGACGTGAAGGCACCGGCTCCCCACTCGGCCCTGCCCTCACCACTTTCCCCCTCCCTGGCCGCCCGGGGTTGGCGATCAGTGGGGCTGCGCAGCGTGTAGAGCCCGGAGCCAGCGCTCGGGCCTGGCCATGTCATTATTGCCCCGCATGGCCCACCGCCTCGCGGCACCCCGGTTTCCTGGCTGGCACCCGGGCCGTGATAGACTGTTTCCTTCTCGTGTCGCTGGGATGCAGCAGTACAGCAAGAAGTTCTCAGCCGGAGAGGGAGTTGGGCTGAGCGACTGTGTCCCGTGCTTGTGGCTGCTGACATCCCTGTGTCATCCAGTGGGACCTGGGGCACTCCCACCGAGCCCTCGTCCAGACTCCACGGCCCCCGCCCCCTCTCGCACTGCACACATCTGCCCCCACAGCCGTAAGCGCCCAACCCCTGACACTGCCACCTCCTCCGAGCCCTGTGGCGGCCCGGGCGGCCTTACGTAGAGGTGGTGGAGGCCCTTGAAGTCATCGGCGCGGAGCTCCGAGATGTCGTTGTTCTGCAGGTCCAGCAGCATGGTGTCGGGTGAGATCTCCTTGGGCACGGCCTTCAGACCTGGGGGCCGGGGCCGCCGTCACCAGCGTGAGCGCCTCCGAGCAGGGGACACACACACGCACACACACACGCTCGTGCAGCGGCTCTGCCACAGGTGAGGGCCCTTCTCACTCTCCGCTCGCTGGCAGCCGAGCAACCGGACACCGTTCTACGCTGAAACCAGTCTCCCCAAGCCCGCGCGCTGGAGTCACCCCATCCCTGACCCCACCCCTTCGTGCCATCCCGCCGGGCAGGCATGTGTCTCCCCAGTAGGGCACTGAGGCCGGCCCGCGCCTTCCTGTACCCGCCCCGCCCTGGTCCCGGGACTGACCCAGGTCGGAGCACTGAACAACCCGCAGGTGGCAGTGGCAGCCAAAAGGACACATGGCGCTGTAAGTGGGCGTGAGGGCGTCCAGGTCCGGGACGCCTGAAGTTGTCTCAGCGCCTGAAGCCTCCTCGTCGTTCAGCATGGGCAGCCCGTCGTCCAGGGTGAAGTCCCAGAAGCCCTTCTGCTCAAAGGGTAGGGCCTGGCTCAGGGCCAGCAGGGAGGCGACGAGCCACAGGGGCCACATGGTGGGCATGCCTGGGAGGCTGGGGTGAGGAGGGGCTGTCAGGAGGGCCCGGCTGGCACCCGTACATGCCCCCTGGGCCCTTTCCCGAAAACCTCCAAACACCAGGAGCTGAGGACCCGCACATGTTGGCACCGTGTTCACCATCCCTCACGTGGGGCCAGCCGGACCCCAAGGCAGGAGCGGCGGGGGGGAAGGTGGCAGAGGGACGGGGTGTGGGCAGGCGGGAGACACCTCCTTCCGCTCCCCTCCGATCCCGGGCAGGACAACGGCTTTCATGGGCAATGGGTCGTCTTGCCGGTCAGTGAGTCGTGCTCACCCCCCCCGCCCACTGCCCCCCACACACCCCCTCAGCTGGCAGCCTGCCTGGGGACAGGGGTCAGTGAGGCGAGCGAAGGGAGTGGAGGGGGCAGAGAGGGAAAGGCAGCTGTCTGCCCCATAAAGGCTTTGAAGAATTGGGATTTGAATAACCTATTGTGGCCAGGGCGATCCCACATGCTCCGGGCCCTGTGGGTGCAGTCAGCATTGAGCTAGACCACCATGAGTCACTTCCTTTCCTGCCTGAGCTCCCCCTTGCAGCACACCCACATTTTCTGAAGAAAAGTCGAGAGGCCAAGACACCCTGCTGGGCACGCTGGGCTGAGGCCTGGGCGAGCCACGGAGGCGGTGCGGACAGAGAGAGGGGCGGCCTCCCGGGCAATCGCTGCCGAGGAGGGGGCGCGGCCCCCCAGCTCCCCTCCCCAAGGCCCCCCAGGGCCTCGGCACCCTCTCCTGGCCCGCAAGACTTCCCCTGGCTTGGCCTGCAGAGCCCCGGGGCTCCCACACCGGCTCCCGCCTTCCTTCTGCCCGTGGCCCAGCCCCCCGGAGAGGCCACCAGAGGGGAGCCGGCTGCTGCCAAGGTGGCAGGCAGGATCGGGCTTGTCCGAAGTCTCCCCCAGGCCGGGCAGCGGGGTGGGCGTGAGGGGGAAGCTGCCCTGCCCGAACCTGCCCCAGGGGCCCGTTTTTACCACCTCCTTCCTTCCCCCATCCAGAGGCTCCTCTGCTGGAAGGTCCTGTACAGGGAAAGGCCGAGCCCCTGCCTCTCCCACCACCCTCACCCTCCCGGATTTCCCCAGAAAGTCCCAGCCAGCCTCATTTCCCCATGTGTTCCGCAGGCGTCCGTGTGCCTGCCCTGCTCCGCTCCCGGGCTCCGGTGTCCGGGGTTGCCCCGCGTGCATCTGTGGGCAGTGAGCCTGGCCGGGGGCCAGGGGCTTCCTGCAGACCCGCACCGGCCCCCCCCTCCAGGGAGACCCTCCTCACTTGGGGCCGTGACGGGCTTCAGTGGGGCCCGGGGCACCTCTGAGCCTGATTGCTGCATATAAACGTGGCAGGAGTCCCCGGGGACTGGAGGGCTCTGCTGGATTTAAGCCTCAAGAGCATCTCGGCCCGGTCTGCTGCTTTGTTGGGCGAGCCCGGTTGGTGTGGGGCTGGGCTGGGTGCTGCGCGGCCCCCTGGAGCCCTCCCACCAGCAGGCCAGGGCTCAACTACTCTGTGCCCCAGGTTCCCATCGATCCCAGTCCTGCCAGCCCCTTGCACGCTCCCCAGGCATCCCCTAAGTGGGTCATGTAGCTTGCCCCGGCTCCCACTATCCCCGAGGACACTGGCAACCCGGGGTGCAGTGTGCTGGGCAGGCCGAGGTCACAGACCCAGGACATGGTTCAGTGGACTCGGCTGGAGGGCCAGCCCCAGAGTGCCCCCAGCAGGTCCCAGCGGCCCTCCTGAGTGCATGGCCCCCAGTGGCAAGCTCAGAGAAGCTGCCTGCCTGTCCCAGGTCACACAGCAAAGTAAGCGTCCCCCACGTCAGGGGAGCACCCAGTCTGCCTGACTCCCTCAAGCCCCAAGACGCCACAATCACACCCCAGGTCCTGCCAGCCCCAGACTGGCCAGGCAGGACCCAGGGGAGCCCCCGGGAGGTCCTGGTGCCGAGTAGGGAGGAGGCCCTGTGCTTGCCTACCTGACAAGGTGTCCCTCCTTCTTCCCCTGATTCTGCAACCTCCAGGGCAGAACAGGACAGGCTGAGGCCCTGGGTGCCTGCTGCCACTGCTTGGGACCCTTGCTTGGGAACCACTGGAAGCCCGGGGCTGGGACGAGGACGAGTGGTCGGAGAGAACAGGAAGGGGAGGATGGAGGCAGGAGAGCAAGATGGAATGGGAGAGAGGGAGGAGACTGTTGTCTTCTTGCCTGGCACCCCTGCCAAAGCCGCTACCTCACAGGGGGGATGAGTCAGGGCTGGAACGCCCAGTGGGAGCCTGGGAAGGCCTTGGGATCCACGGCTCACCTGGATAGGTGGGGGTGGATGGGGTCGTCTGGCCGGGCCCAGGGGAGGCTGTGGTGGGAGGTGGGCAAGAACAGGCCTCCTCTAGCCCGCCGGGGGCTGGGAAGGGCCAGGGGTCTCCCGGGGAGTCTCCGCCCCCGGATCTGGCCCGGCCGCCAGAGTAGAGCAGGACGGCACTGGAAAGGCCAACCGGGGTGAGACTGGCCACCCAGGCTCCACGTGGGCTCGTGGGACGTGTCCTAGAGGAGTGGGGGCTCTGGAGGAGATGATTCAGCTCGAACCAGCCAGGCTTGATGTTGCTGCATCTGGGGGCCACAGGCAGGGGCCCTGGGCTCTAGTGCAGGCTCACTCTCGGGGCGTGGGGTGGGGGGACGGAGGCTGACGGCCGGGAGGCCCTCCACCAGGGCCCTGTGACCGAGGCCGAGGACAAGGCGTGGCTGGTTCCCCCGCCGCCCGCTCCCGGCTGGGCCCGGGCAGTGGACAGGCTGGCAGGGTGGGGGCTGGGCGGGCTTGCCAGCAGAGCCTCATTTCCACTCTGGAAGCTGGTGGAACTGCACAGGGAGGGGAGGGCTGGCCGGACAAGGAGCCGGGCAGGGTGTCCCCGAGGACTCCGGGGAGGGCCTCGAGCCCTGTCAAGCTGTGCTTGGAGCTCGCTGGACCCCTGGCCCTGACAGCAAAGGCAAGAAGTGGCTACGGCGCCGAGGCCTCCGGCCCAGTGCCCACAGGTGTGAGCGAGGGAAAGGGCCGGGCTTCCTGGAGCCCGCGCCCCAGACCAATAGGGCCTCCCTTGTCTCGCTCTCTGAAAGCCGGCGCAGTCCTGCGAGCGAGGTTGCTCCGGCCCGCGCCAAACAAGACGCATTGGCAGCCTCTGAGAACATGGAGCGGCCGTGCCAGGCATTCAGGCCAGGCCAAGGGCGGCGGGAGCAGGACTTAAGGTCTGGCCTGCCCTGGGAGCTTGCTTGCGAATGTGTGGCCTGCAGCTGCCAAGTCGGAGACGCCGGGCACCGTCCCGAGGCCTCAGCCCGGCGTGTCCGGTCCCCCCCCCCCCCCCCCCCGCCGAACAACCCGACCTGAACTCTGGCGCGGGTGCCACCGTCTACCTAGCCCTGCCGGGTCCCCGGGGCTGCGTGGAAGAGGAGGGGCAGGAGGGGGACGGGCAACACGGGGCCCCCTTTCCCTCCGCACCCCTCTGTCCGCCAAGGGCCTCGGAGGCGGGCCTCGAACAGCCGGCGGGGGGCGGGAGCGCCGTCCAGAGCTGCGTTCCGCAGGTGGGTGCCGAGCCCAGGCTGGCGCGCAGCCGCTCCTCCTGCCCCAGGCCCCAGCCCGCCCGCCCTCTGGCAACCTCACCTGCTCTCGGGGGCCACCCGTGGGCCTGCTGGGGCCCCCGCACGTGCGCGTGTGTGCGTGTGGGGGGACCGCGTGAGGGGCTGGCGGCTGGGGTGGCGAGGGCGCAGGCCCTGAGCCCCACCCCGTTGCGCCTGTGCCCGAGCCACCTGAGGCTGCAGGGCGAGCAGACGCCTGCACGTGGCCGGCCAGGGCAGCTCCTTCCCGTCATGGCCCTGGCACCGCTGGCCTGACGGCGCGGCTGGGCCCCTGCCTCTGCCAGCCTTCAGGTAGCGATGCGAACTGGACGTGGCAGGCGGAGGCCGTGGGGAGCTGGCAGGGAGCCGGCCCATTGGCGGGAGAGGGCTGGGACCGGGGAGCTGGCGGGGTGGCTGGCGCGGGTGAGGCCAGACCTCTGTCCCCACAGCATTCGGGAGAGCCCTCCGCCCCTCCGCCCCTCCGCCGCTCTGTCGGGAAACCTCTGGAAGGCGGGGCGGGGGGGGAAGGGGTTAAACTGCTGGCCAGGGGCCAGGCAGCCGATGACCCAGGTCAGCTGGGGGTCCTGAGGTTCCCAGTCCTTTCACACCTGGGCCCGGTGTCCTTCCTCTTCCTCCTCCTCCTCCCAACTCACTGAAGAAATCCTGAGCTCCGCCTCACCTCATTCTAGAATGTTTGAGGAAGAGGGTGGATGCTATCGCCTCCCACGGATGGGGCAGGGGACTCAAATGATCCCTTAACGTAGCCCTCCCAAAGACCAAAAGAAGAAAGCGCTGTTTTTGCCACTTGATGAAAAGGTAAACTGAGGCTCAGACTTTGCCCAAAACTCTGGCCTGAGGCCACACAGTAAGGAAGCGGTAGGACTGGGGCTCCCTGTCTGTCCATCTGTCTATCTGCCTGTGTGTCTGGCTCCATCCTCTGCTGTTCCAAAGCCACGAGACCCTATACTCCCTGGGCTGTGCAGGGGGGGCTGGACCAGCCTGTGGGGTCCTGGCAAGGCTCCCCGGCAGCTCCCTCACCCGAGCTGGGAGGTGATGCTGTTGGAAAGTCGGGCCCTGCTCTGTGGGCCCTTTGCCCATCGTGGCTCCTGAGGCACAACGGCCCCTGGCTCTGACCGCCACTGATGGTAGGTCTTTGGGTGCCTCAGGCCAGCCGCCCCCGCTGGCCCCAGCACCCCCAGCGGGCTGGCCACAAGCCTGGGGCTTCGGCTTGCCCCGGGTCTGCAGGGGCATGGAAAGGCCATCATCCCAGCCAGCCAGGGAGCTTCCCTGGAGCCGTTTAGGTCCCAGCTGGCAGCAGACCCCACAGGGAGATGTCCTCGGCCTGGCTCCCAGAGCCTGGCGCCCCCCTCGCCTTGCTCCCTGGCTGAGCCCGGCCGAGGCGAGGGGGCTGGGCTCCGCTTCCCGGGCAGGATGGTGGCCAGGCACCCGGGAGTGAGGCCCTGCCCTTCCTGGGCCCAGGGTTTCCTGCAGCTCCTTCCGCGCACCGGCTCTCAGCCAGGGGCTCCGGCTGGTGGTGGGAGCCAGCCCTCGGCACCCGGCCCGGGGCACCCCCCCAGTGCACCCCGCCTTGCGGCTGGGGGCCTCCATGGCCCTGCTGGACCATAATCAGGGGTGAGCAGGGACTCAGACAGAACGATGATCAAAGTCACCTTTGCCTCTGCTGTCCTGGGACAGAGCTGCTGGAACCAGCCTCTCCCTGCCCCTTCCCTCTCTCCTCCAAGTCCCACTTCAGTTCCCCAAATCCCCAGCCCTGTGTGCTGGGTCCCCCTGGGCCATCTGTCTCCCAAGGGGTGGATGGTGGAGGAGAAACCAGGGTGAGTCTTACAGCTCAGCCCAGGCTGGTGTTTTTGTGGAGTTTGGCTTGCAGGTGCCAGGGACCGGGAGCGCCAGGTGCAAGGAGGCTGGACAGAGAGACCCCAGCCCCTTGAAACCCAGAGATGTGTCACCACAGGGAGGGGCCGGTGAGTCATCTGAGTTCCCGGCTGGGGAATGTCAGTGATGCTGCTCTGTAGGCTGCCGTGGGAACTGAGGCTGGTGGGCCCTAGGCGAGAAGGCTTCCTCCAGGGCCATCCCAGGATCTGCCCTGACCCAGAGCAGGGTGGGGGGCGGGGACCGGAGAAGCCAAATGGGGGGGGGGGCTCTGGGCAGCTCCCAGGAGCTGGAATCCCGGAGGGAGTGAAGGAGGCCCCGGGAAGCTCGGGCTGGGGACTCCAGTTGAGGGGGGACAAATCGCAGTCACCCATCCCTAGAGGAGGTGGCCACGCGGGCCCCACGCCCATCCCCGGGGCCACTGGGAGACTGGCTCTGGGAGACGGAAGAAGGGCCCGGCTGTGTAGCCTCCATGGGTCTCAGGCCCGGGGGACGCGGCGGAGCAGACACCCTCCCACCCCCAGCGTAGCCCCTCTACCTGCCTCCTACTGCTCCGGGAGGTGGGACTTCCAGAAGGCCTTCTGTGGGTGATCAAGGTGTGGGCCCCAGCGTGTGAGCAGGAGACAGGAGGGAGAGGAGGGGCACTGACGGCCACAGGGGCCAGCTGACAGGAGGGGACAGAGCTGCCACGACTCTGCCTTCAGGGGGAGCCCTTGCTCACTGTCACCGCCACCACCCAGTGCGCACACGGAGGCCCACAGGAGGGAGGGGAGGGTGCCCTGGGACAGCCACCATCACTCCTCAGCCTCTGGATTTGAGCCGAGCCCTTGGGCTGGTGTGCCCCCTTGCACCGATGTAGAGGGAGACAGCTCCAGGCAGAGACTGAGCTCTCTCACCCTGGGGTGGGGAGAGTCGAGTGGGGTGGGAGAGGAGGGTGGGGAGGGAGTCGTGGTGGGGTGGGAAGAGCTTTCTTACAATCAGGGGTTTGGGAAGCTCCGTAGAGACTAGAGATGTGTGAGACAAATGACCCCGCGGCCCAGCAGATGAGGCTTCAGAGGCCCTGGGGCTGGGGCCGGGGCTGGGACCATCCTTGGGGTGCGGCGGGGAGGGGGTGCAGAGTGGACGGTGCCCGGGCCACAGCCTACTGCTTGTGTGTCCCAGGGAGATCCTGGGGGACTGCCACTCTCTCGTGCCTCAGCTGTGTCCCCGGGCAACTAAGGACAACTGACTGCTGGGACGGTCCCGTGCTGTGCTGTCTCCACGGGGCTTCTCCAGGGAGTAGGCGAGGGATGGCAGTGGGTGGCCCGGGAAGCAGGGCGGCTGGGAGAGATGGGAGGCCCTACTGAAGGCTCTGCCATCTTCTGGGGACTTGGCACTGGCACTAGAAAGGCCACTCTGGGGTCTCTCCTCATTTACGCCCCCCCAATGAGCCAGGGCCACTGGTAGGACTGGGGCGGGTTCGGTCAGAGGATGGCATGCCAACTTTCTGGGCCCCTGAATGAGCCTGCAGAGAACTGCCAGCAGCCACAGCTGGGCTTCAGACTCCCCACATACACGGCGGGGACTCGGGGCCCTGCTCCGGGGCAGGGCACAAGAGCGCTGGGATGGTTAATGCCCACCGTGGCCCGGGGTCTTGGGGCTTGCGGGTAGGCCCCTGGGCTGGTGGGCAGCAGCCCCCCGGCTCTCCGTC